TTAAGTATTAATATCCACATTCCAGCGTGAAGTGTAAAATGCGACTATATAGATAAGATGAACACCATGATACTATAACTAGCAATATACCTGCTCAAACAGATGTGGGTAGTCGCAACGCATGTCCTCCTCGCATTTCCAGGAAGCTTCTTCAACTCTCCTCCTATTCCACTGCACCTTTACCAATAGGATTACTTTATTCCGGAGTTTTTTTGTCCTCCCTAGCAAGATTGCGAATTTGTGTCTCAATTATAGTCAAATCCGCCTGAAGCTCTAAATCTGGCACATCAACCACTCTCTGTTCTTCGTCTCGTAAGTGATTCTTGAGCATCGAGATATAAAACACATCATGCACACCCGACATTAACGCTGGAAGGTCTAGTCAAGACGAAACGGCTCCAACACGATCAATAATCCTAAACGGACTGATATATCTCAGGGTAAGTTTTTCTCATTTACCAAACTATTTGACACCTTTCATAGGTGATACTTTCAATAAGACGTAGTCTCCAACCTGAAATTCTAAAGGTCATCGTCGATGAAAATGATCACGAGCTTATCCAGGTACAGACGAAAAACCTCGTTCATTAAATCCATGAATATTACGGGTGTGATCATACCAGCACTAATGCACCGGATCCCATCAGAACTCTACTTGTTTTTCAAAGATTAACATTCGATCTGGTTATCACTAGTTACACGTACGGGAGATGGATATTCCCAAGATCGTATTTTTAACTCGGTATGGGTCCTTTGAATTTCTTATCATGTCATTTGGGCTAACTAATGCACCCGTAATATTCATTGATTTGATGAACCGGGTTTTTTTGTCTGTACCTGGATCAGTTCGTGGTCATTTTTATTGACGACGACATTTAGAATTTTAGGTTGGAGACTACGTCTTATTGAAAGTACTACCTATGAAAGGTGTCAAACGATTTGGTAAACGGGAAAAACTTGCCCCGAGATATATCGGTCCGTTCAAGATTATTGATCGTGTCAGAGCCGTTTCGTACCGACTAGACCTTCCAGCGTCGATGGCGGATGTGCATGATGTATTTCATATCTCAATGCTCAATAAGCACTTACGAGATGAAGAACAACAGAGAGTGGTTGATGTGCCAGATTTAGAGCTTCAGGCAGATTTGACTACAATTGAGACACCAATTCGTATTCTTGCTAGGGAGGATAAGAAACTCCGGAATAAAGTAATCCTATTGGTAAAGGTGCAATGGAATAGGAAGGGAGTTGAAGAAGCTTCCTAGGAACGCGAGGAGGACATGCGTCACGACTACCCACATCTGTTCGAGTAGGTATATTGCTAGCTATAGTATCGTGGTGTTCATCTTATCTATATAGCCGCATTTTACACTTCACGCTGGAATGTGGGTATTAACACTTACCACCTAATCATTCAGAACATATGATATATATATATATATATATGATATATATATATATATTATATATATATATATTATATATATTATATATATATATATATAGAGGGTTCGGAGAGCCGCAGGTTGACGAGGACTCAATGTAGATTTTCATCAATATTAAGTAGTTAATTAATGCTCCACAGTAGACTGTTTATGCGTTTAGTTTTCTTTTAGAGATGCATTTTATTTTGGAGGCTGAGTGCCTATGTATTTTTTTAGTTGACTCTCATGTATCAGAGATTCGATGTTCTTATTCCGATGTATTTTCTTTTCTTCTGTTGGAACAAAATTATAGTTATTATTGGATGTCTCTTCTCTATATTGTGTTCCTTGTATTGTCACCTTTGATATATCTGCTTGTACCCTCACTTCTTATTTCGACATCTGCTAGAGCGATATTAATATGATGGTGAAACATGTTTATGCATAGTGTTTGGTGCATGATAGGTTTGATATGTTTGGGTTCACTTTGGACTGCAACAATGTGTGAAAACCAGGGGCGTCACAGTCCCAAACTATGAAAAACGATGCAGCTTGTTAGGATTCAGCCTAGTCTGTCCTTGTCGACATATTGAGTTGATTGGTTGGTGCCGAGATAGTGATTCATATAGGCATAGTTCGAGTTGAGACTATGTATTTGGTAGGTATATTTGAATATATTTTGTCGCTATTTTTCTTTTGTGTGTGAGTTTCATGTAATCATGGCTAAATCTGTGAAAATACATATAATGCTTTCATCTTTTTGTTGGGGTTGAAAGCTACTTTCTAAGTTGGAAATAGTAACACTGTTGTCAGCTAGGTCTTTTAGGCCACGTTTCTTACCCTAAAATAAGTATATCTGAATATGTATAGTATTTGTTAGTTTAATGGATTATATTTAGCGCATGAATCTACTTATTGTTTTACTTTTTTGGTATGTATGTTTGAATATGATGTCTTTGTTTTTCTTTTGTGTGTGAGTTTCATATAATCATGGCTAAATCTGTAAAAATACTTATTGTGCTTTCATTTTTTTTAGGGATGAAAGCTACTTTGTAAGTTGGGAATGGTGGTACGTCTGTTGGCTTGGGTCTTTTAGGCCCCCTTTTTTCTTCGAAAAGATGTATACTTAACTGCGGATCATATTGGTTAATTTAGTGGGCAATAGTGCATAAATCTACTTATTGTTTTACTTTTTTATGAAAGAATAGTGTTTGTTGATCATATGTAAACTTTTAATAGTTCCATATAGTTTACTTGAGAATAAAGTACCACAATTTAGTATTAAATCAATGATAGAGTTTGGTTAAAGTGGATAAAAAAGTGGTCTCAATATTCCAAATTTACTTGTTTGCTATTAAGTGGCAATTTAATAAGAAAAGTCTTAGAATAGGCTCATTTTGGCACTATAAATTTCAATAATGATTATTAATAGCCTATGAGTCTAAGTGAAAGGACATGCCTAATAGGTTTTATATGTTTGCATGAGGTAAGAATATCAAAAAGATTTAGAATCTTAATGAGATCACCCTATTTTAATGATTTTTTTCAACTACTAAAATTTTTTTATTCTCGGATTCGTGGGCAACGCTTGACTTCTATTTGATCGATCAACTGATAAATATGTAGTGTATTATGATTTATTTATTTTCTTAAAGTACATATCCTTTTATAAACAAAATTTACTGATATTTAGTTTCATCATTCATAATTATTTATTTTTTCAATAATTTTTCATTTATTTTTTATACTTTATCTTTTGGTTCTTTTACATTTTTCATTCATGTAGATTTTTTGAGTGCATATGGATAATTATAAATTGTTACGATTTCCATTTATGTTTTTCTTAATGATTGGAAAAACATGGTATTTAGATCTGTTGTTGACTGAAGGGATGTTCAAAATACCCCGCAAGATTGTTAACAAGCATTTATCTTACCATTTATAAAAGCACGGATACCCAGATATCTTAGCACATAGAATTTAAACCACAAATAAGTTCATTCATGAAAATAGTTTTAATTGTTTTATATATAAAGAGCAACATAAAATTTACATGTAAAATAGCTCTATACAATTAGTTTGTTCTATGAAAACTAAAACTAACAATTAACATAAACAAAAAAGATATTCCACTATAAGTGTGTCCAAAATATTTTTATAATGAATTATGGTTTTAGTAAAATTAATTATAATTTTAAATCTAGGATTTTAATAACAAAATTATAAGAAAGGGTAATTTTAGAAAATTTTAGCATAGGCCAAAAATCCAAACATATTATTTCTAAGTCCACAAGATAAACAACATTGTTTACACAATTTAGGTAGTCTTATAAATTCCAAAAAAAATATTTTGAAGCCAAAATGTAGACTTTAATAAAACGCAATTTTTTTAGATTTGTTATTTAACTTCTATTTCAGTCACTATTCTTTTTCAGTTAGAAAATCCTTAAAATAATGTAAATTAATAGTTTTTTCAAATGATTAGAAAGTTACTACGAATAATTATTCATTTTATTGAATTAAAAAATTATGTATGTTGTATAATTATAGGATTCATTGATGATAAAGCTACTGGGAGTACAATCCTTCAAACAATTAAGAGATATTATTCAAATGAGTAATTTTCATCTTCTTACTTATTATAAATATTTAATATAAGTGCATTAATTATATGTAATGCTAAAAAGTATTGGATTAGTTAGATTGATAACAATAGAATATCTGTTAGATTGATAACAATAGAATATCCATTCATCTAACTGCAAATTCTATGCACTCTTGGCCTCATAATTCAATAACAATGAATCGATCAAACGACCATCCATTATAATTCACATGGATTTACTTAGCAGTTTCTATTAATTTCACTTTTAATTTGCGTGCTAACATTATTAACACTCAAACCTCTTCCAAATGCTTAAGAAGGGCTTGTTTGGATTGAGGGGAATGAGGGTGAAGGGAAGTTAGGGGAATCATTCACTTCCATTCACCTTGAAGGGAAGTTAGGGGAATCATTCACTTCCATTCACCTTGTTTGGGAACACTTAGGAGGTGAAGTTAATTCACCCTAGTTCCCCTTGGTTCACCCCCTAATAGTATAAAATTTGTTACCCCCCAAATTGGGATGTAACCAAGGAGAAGGGAACTTCCTTCTCTTCCATTCTCTCAGTTTTCCTTAACTTCCCTTCACCCCCTACAAATCCAAACAGGCCCTAATGCTAGATCTTTATTTTTTTCCCTTTAAGTTACTTTTTCTCATATTTTTTCACGAAATAAATTCAAAACCTAAACAAGCGATTGTACAAGTTTATCAGATGGATTGTTTATTATCTATAATGTTATTAAAAATACTCTAAACTTTATTATTCCTCAAGGAAGCAAGAGATTGAAACCAACAAGGTTATGTCCAGAGACATCCGAAAAGTTCTAATATATTTTAAACCATTTCCCGACCTAATTATAGTAAATAAAAAACTCAAAAAAGTAACCAACTTGCAACGCAAGTGCTCCTCACCTAGTACCAATAAATGGTGCTGACAACCTAAGAAAGAAACCGAACCTTCAAAGCACTGAACATAAAAGTTAACACCGAGCTCTGTTTTTCACAGCCCTACATAACAAATGAACTCGGTGATTTCACAGGGAAATTCAAATGTTACAAGATAAACATAATTTAACCCGCAGAGTTGCAGTCTACAACAAATACAATGACATACAGAGTCTCACACTAGGCTCCCAGGTGCTAACGTCTCAAAAGGAGGACCAAAAAAAAAAAAAAAACCCACCCTACTGAAAGTTCTCTGTAGAAATTTTTATAGGGAGAATGGAGATCTGAAATGTGATCCCAGTACAGATCTTAAACCTTGTTTAATAACCATCCAAGTGCCGAAACATGCGTCACTTCCTGATTTCTAACTATGACGCACGCTCATTATCTCCCATCTCCTCATCGCATGTTTCCTGATTTTTCCAACCAAGACGCATGTCATTATCTCCTATCTCCTCATATGAGTTTCTCTAGAGGGCACTCATATGAGATTTTTTCCCCCTAAATTCCAACAGTGAACCAGAAAAAGATTGCAGTTCGTGCATAAATTGCCCTTACATGCCGCAACACCAAGTTCCCACTGGTCCACACCGCCTTCGCACCTCCTTCAATCCTCGTCTCTGAAACAGTGACGCTATCTGCAATCTTTTGCTGCTGTTGGCTCTTCGGTGCTGGTGAAAATGTATCAACTTTGCTGCTGGCTGTACTCACTATAGGGAAGGAGAGGTAATCCAACGGATTCTCTTCACATTGAAGGATGCACCCTTCAATTGTCAGCCTTCCGCTTCGGTGGAGAAGGCAGTAACCGAGCTCCGCTCTTATGGTAAGGTTGGCTACCTTGCATGTCGATAGAAACTCCAGTGCACTGCTTGAAAGGAAACAAATGCATATTGAAGCGTTTGGATTGAGTTTTCGTAGAGAGTGACAAACAAGAGTAGGACTTGGGCCGTTCATAGGTCGAATTGGGTGGGTTTTTTTGAGACGCATCAGGATTTTTGGGTGCACTTTTGAGAGGTTAGTATTCTGATTGGGTTTGAGTTACAAATGGGGTGGTCAAATTTTGGCAGGCGACAAGTAATGAGCATTATGTTGTGTCAGAACTCAATGAGGGGCATTCTTCAGAAAATCCTCATCATTCATCATTCATCCTGACCCACATCCAAAATAATCCAAGTACAAAGAACGATGATGTTTCCAAGATTTTCTACCCATGCATCAACCAGTATCTTTTTTTTACTGTTAAAACATGCTTTCTGTAACCGAAATTATGAAGATAAAGAAAATTTTGAAACCACCGGTTTCTCATTTTTAGAATAATTTACATGTCCAGATAACATGTCCCTTGATCCAAGGCCATTAGTCAAAAATTCCTCATGGCAAGCAGGGTCATGATAACAAATAATAACATACGGAACAAGATGACGGCATCCATGTGCCCATTATGTGGTTTCTGTTGATAACATGCACTGTTCATTTTATTCCACATATTCACATGAGACCAAGATTGAGATCAAATAGTTTTGAACTTCACCTTTACACAATGGTAGCACACATGGTATTCCAACAAAGAAAAAAGGATTTAAGAGAGTGATGCACAAGTAAAAAGCTTTTAAGATCTAGATCTTTTGCACGTGTGAAAACTGAAGTGATATGTAAAGATGTGTAATCGAAGTGTATATGAATCAAAACAGGGCAGCTCGGACAGACTCAGGATTGGATTTCGATTAGTTTTGGATGCACCTCACACCACTAATTTTCTGCAGTAAATTGGGCATTTAGTAGTTTTGGGCCACCCATGACCAAACCACAACAACTTAGAACCTTGACTTCGGCGTATAGTTTTTACTTAGCACGAAAGTCATAAATAAAATGGAACTAGCCACATACCTATCAGAACCACGTGCACAGGTTAAGACTGTGTCATCAGGAAGATCGCCTGCACCAATCTGATCAAAACAAGAAAATAAGAGCATGGCAGCACAAAATTATTTTAATTCACAGTAAGGAAAATGTACACCAAATCATATTTGCAAAATGGGCTTTTTCAAGTTCATCTATGTTTTATAGATTAAAAAAACAGTAAAATTCACAAAGAAAACAAGGATGAAATGCAGGTTAAAGTATCCAACCCATGAGGTCAGTATCTTCACCAAACACCTGCTGCATCCAAGGCAAAACCTAATGGCTGAAAAAATAACCTCTTTCAAGCACGACACATTTCGTAAATGTACTTCATACCATGCAAGACTATCATTTATTAAATATGCTCTCTAAGCAATAGCATATTTCACTAAATAGAATATTTTGGCGTTTAACACCAGGGCAAATCTTCAAGCAGACCAATGATTATAAAGCAAGTATCTTCAACTAATATCCGACAAGACCATATCCAACATAAGTTTCCATATGTATGGTTGTGAAGCCACAAGCATTATCCAAAGCAACAGATTAATACAATCCAGACATCAAATTCTCACCCTGATTTGAACTACGAACGAATTTGGAGAGGGGAGGACAATCTCATTGGGGTTCTGGTGGCCAAAAGGAGGGTGCAAGTAATGATGCCGCACATTACTGGATGATTGGACTAAAGTAGAAAAGGATGATGAAGTTAAGATGTGAGGTAAGGTCAGCCTGAAGGGAGGTGAAAAAAAGGAAAGAGCAATATTGGTGTAAATGAGCATTAAAAACGTAGACAAGGTTATTACAGTAATGCAACTCTACTAGCCTAGAAGAATGGATGGAGTAGGAGTTCTGAATGTGAAGAGCAACAACAAGGTGACAACATGTCTACCTGTTACCTTGCTAGGTCATTTTCCTGCATAATCCCTAATAATTAGTGGTGGTCTTCTGAAAATCACCTTTCATGTATAAGGACCTGCAGATTATTTCTTGCCTGAGGTGAAATGTGCTAGAATGGTGAGCATCAAACCTTTTGGGTTGACATGGCTAGACAATTAACTTAGATAGCAGATTGCAGGGTCAGAGACGCTTTCTCTAAAAGCCAACAAATGACTATATTCAACTAAAACTCCACCACACAATAGAATATCCTAATCTGCGAGGCAGATATCTTCATTATGTAAGAGAATCAACCTAAAATGTTCAAATTTTTCCTGTTCTCATCCATGCAAAAAACTAAGGTTTAACGTATAAACCTCCAATAAGTATGTTGTTCTATTTTTCAAATAATAAAACAATTCTATTTTCTTCTTTTTCTTCTTTGAATAAAGAAAGTGATTTACGCATCCTTATACAAAAAAGTAAGCTTAAGAAAACTAACACAAATTATTAGGGACTTTGCAGGAAAATGACCGAACAAGAAACCTACAATGGACTTTTTTCATGGACCTACCATACTAACCGTTGTTAATGTAAGTTATATTGTATAAGTAAATTACTTGGGTATGTTTGCCACTTCAGTTTTTTTCCCCTGGAAGTCAACAAATAGGAGCAGTTTTGCCTTTTTACCAATGTTGTTGACGCCATTAGATGGGTTTCTGCTGATTAAAAACTTAATTTTTTCCCTAGAAACCACCTTAACAATAGGCCAATTATATAGAAACCACCTTTAGTTTTCAATTTATACATAAGCCACCTTTAAAGGAGGCTCTTGTTGCAATCAACCACATCTTAGTCAAAATTTTCACTAAAAAATAAAAAATAAGCTTAAAGAATTCAAGTTTAAGGTACGTGAGCGGTATCCTAACAAGACCTAAACACTAAAAAATGAGTAATGTACACTGAATGCAAGTTTTTTAAGGGTAATTTTATGTCTCAAGTGAATAATTCGACTGGGAGGTGGTTGATTGCAACAAAAACTAACTTTAAAGGGGGTTTAGGTTAAATTGAAAATGAAAGGTGGTTTCTGTATAATTACCCTATTGTTAAGGTGGTTTCTAGGGGGAAAAAACCCAAAAATGTTATGGTAATTCTCTTATTTTCAAGCAAAATCTAATAGTTAATGGTAAGTTTCTGAAAATTACCTTATAAAATCTGTGTTTGTCTGCTCAAGAGAAACCTAATGTTATTATGTTAAAATAAGGTCCCTTCCTTTCTTGGATCTAGACAGATTAACGTTTCCACACTGCAGAGTCCGTAATGTATGTCATTTAATTTTCTTCACACATCTATAGACATTTACTTCAAAATCATACTTACTGTCTCTAGTATCTATGCTACTATATTAAAAACTTTGCAGGGCAAAAAAATTTAAAGGAGAGAAGGAATGTCCTTCAAATTCACTAAAGACAAGAGGGTAGTTATGTCATTTCACATGAATATTAAATCTTTCACAATTCCCTATGTACCATCTCTCTTATACACAATTAATTTCAAATTTTCAACACATTCCCTCCTTAGCAAACAACACAATAAAAGCACTTTGAAAATAAACATTCTACAAGAAAATAACAAAGTTTCCAATAAAAATTAGATAAACTAAAACAATGCAATTACAGTTATTAAACCTAGGAATCTCATATTTCTAATGGAAATTCTGTATATCAAATTCAAACTAGAGATTTTTCCTAATCATGTTTAGAATGGAATAAAATGGTGGGCAACAATTACTATAATTATGTCATTTCACATGAATATAAACTCTTTCACACCTCCCTCTGTACCATCTCTTTAATACACAATTAGTTTAAAAATTCTATCACACTCCCTCCCTAACAGACAACACAACGAAAAAAACTTTGGAATAAACATTCTAGAACAGACCAAAAAAGAAAAACAGAAAAAAGAAAAAAAAAACATTCTACAGGAGGATACAAATCTTTCAAATAGAAATTAAAAATAAACTAAAATAATGCAATTGCACTTATTAAACCTAGGAATCTCAAATTTTCAAGGGAAATTTTGTATATCAAATTCAAACTAAAGATCTTTTTTCCTAATCATCTTTAGAATGGAATACAATCATGGACAACAAATCATGAAGTATCTTTTTAATTACTAAATAAATCTTTGAAAATTAGAACTTTCAAAAACATAAAATGATGATGAAGTATTAAATCAAAGAATATAACATTAACATTTATAACTATAAACTTAAAAATATGACTATCTACTTTTTCTTTTTTTAATAATTTTTTTTGAAAAATAAGTTTTAATATCCGGCACGTGCATTTGCACATGCAAAGTGGCTAGTTTTTAGTAAAGGACAAGGAAACCAGTTCAAGGACCGACAACATGAACAACCTGTAAATGACAAAACTACGGAATCTTTTAATTCCCTAATGAAACAACAACACATATAATCAATGATATCCTATGACACAGACGTTTATTCCTGAATTGATTTCATGACATTGGCTGGTAGGAAGAAACATTTACTATGAATAATTTTGACTTACAAGGCATAGCGGCTTCTTTATTTGAATATTAGAGGCAACATGATTCCCACCAGCAGCGATCAAAATGGTGTCACCAGGTCTTCGACCACAAACGTTACACTGTTATCCACCACATCTCTTCTTTACATGAAATAAAATATTATCAACTAACCTTGCAGCAGAAATTGCAGCCTCAAGGCTGGGGTATACACCTGGCTCATTCAAGTTTTTGATGGGTCTCTCCACACGCAACCATAGCCGAGGATGGCAAGCCAAGAACCGCCATCTGTGGCAAACGAGGGCCGTGTTATATCGATCTGCAATTCAACAACAGGGTGCTAAAAGAGCTCGTGTAAAATCAAATTTGCAATAAAATTTTAAAAGTGCATCCAATACGATGGAGTTTACAGCTCTCACATAGCGACGTCAAATAATCAATTCATGATCATTAACATGCATCACAAATTGGAATTTATAGCAAGCAGTAACATGTAGAAAATTCTATGTTTTGAGTCTATTGGATTAATGGCGGCGAAACATATACGCAGTTCTTCATCCAACAGTTTCTGTTTTATACAAAAAGTACTACATAATAAATCAAGATTTATCCCATAGCACCTTTGCCATGCCTCGGGAACACAAGCTTGTTGAAATTCCTGGGACCCATGGAGAGCAACATGTTGTTTGGCTCAATCCACTGCCAAAAATACTAGCATTAATTCCACTTGAGCCCACTGGTTTACATTATAATTCCACCACTCTTCATAATCACCAACCTTACATAGATGATGTCCTCATTGTGGCATGATAATTCGACTGCCCTAGTATCACCATGCCCTAGTATCACCACTGCATCCCAATATCACTGCCGGGCAATTTGGATTCTAAACATGGATCCCACCACGGTCACGTGACATAGCACTAGTTTCACACTTCCGACTGAAAAACTGCTCTGATATCATTTGTCACACCCCGAGCCTAATAGCTCAGGGCGCAATGTATGCCATGGGATCCACAGAGAGAAAAATGTACTTTTGAAGGAAAGTGCTAGCCTTTGCACTTGAGTCCCTTGGGGTACATTATATGCCACCGAACTCTTCATACTCACGCGATATGGGACTAAACCACAATTGGGCATCACAATCACCCTACCTTACATAGGTAACATTCTTGTCGCGACATGACAACTAATTGGTCCCAGTATCACCACCGAACAATGTGGATTATGAAGGATTTTCTATAGATGCAAAAAGTGGCTCCCAGTGCACTAACACAATGTAGCATTTAGACCCATGTAGTACATAGTTCCACTCTTCCGACTACCTAACTGTTCTGATCCATTTATCACGCCTTGGGCCTGTCAGTCTGTCCACACAATGTCCTTTGTAGAATTCACGAATAGTAAATGTTGTTTGGCTCAATCAACCGCAAAAAATGCTAGCATTAGTTGCACTTGAGTCTCTTAGATTACATTATAAACCCACTAAACTCTTCACAACCACCCAATGTGGGACTAAACAACAATGACGTGTAACAACCGTATTATGACACACACCCTTAACAACCAAAAGGAAGAGTTGTGTCTACATTGGACATCAAAAAAAAAAAAACTAAAAGAGGTGTGATCCATGTCATCTATCAGTCTCTTGCAAACCTTGAATCAGGAAAGATGCATCTCCTTCAAAGAAGAAGCAGCAATATGTTGATAAATGGGGCCACTATGGGCGCATGTTATTACGATAGTTTCAGGCAGATTAAAAACAGAGAGTTGTTCCATGCCGATAAGAGTTAATACGTGATGGTGCAACCTGATGTACATCCTATTTCCTATTTAGTACCTGACAAGCTTTAAGAGTATTTAACATGTAAAAGAAGTGACAAATTTTAGTAAAAGACTTCTCCTTTTTGTTACCCAAATGAAAACTGCTATATCAGTTTACACAATTGACAACTAGCAACTTGTCAGTAAGGGTGAGCAACGGGCCGTGCTGTCTCGTCCCGCAGCCGCCTAATCCTGAGTGGAGGCCAGCTAGCCACGACTCGCAGCAAGTTGAGCGAGATGTGTTTTGCCGCTTGTTCTTGGGCCTAGAGCTCAGCCCTACCCACTCGCAGGCCTAAGAACATGCAGGGCAAACCATGACATGTGTCAACCTACCTAGCCCACTTAGTTATTTTTTGTTATATTTTAATATTTAATTATTTTTAATAGTTTTTAATATTGTTTAACACTTAATAATTATATGTAAATAGCAAATTAATAATGACATGATTATAATTTAAAAAAATAATTTTATTAAGTACAATTGTATATTTGCATACAATTATAGAATCACAAACACAAAGATTTAATATAGTTTGGAGCAAGGTTTACATCAATGAGTAGCATAATATTATTCCACTAGTTAAAAATACAAGAATAAAATAACTTACAATAAACTTTAAAGAAAAATATATATTATTACCAACCAAGTGCGAGCCCATGGACCGGGACAAGTAAGCCATCCCGCTCACATGTAGGTCCAGCCCGCTCGCTAGGCTTTGTGGGTCGAGCGGGTTGTTGTCTCGCATTTGGCTTGGGCTGACCTAGCACGGTCCCGCAGCTCGCTACTGTAGCGGGCAGAATCGGGCCCGTCCTACGCCAAGCAAGGTTGACCCGAGCTCAAGAACGAGATGAGCGAGCGGGCTTGTGGGCCGACCCGGCTAAGTGCCCACTCCTACTTGTCAGTGACCTTCCTTTCATATGATTTAAGAGGAACACATTCAGGAAGTTCGACTAAAAAAGTATCTAATGATGTGCCAATTCTCCTAAGATTTCCTCACATGAACTGCAAGTGACAACGTCATTCCACATACATAGCAATAGAGGGTCAAAATATGAGACAACATCATCTGTTCAAAGCAGTTTTAAGTTATAAAGGCTAATTTCATAATGCAAAAGTCCCATTTCATGATGTTCCTTAACCAAGAAGGGATTAAGGCAAGAAGAGAAACAAAAGTAACCATGGTTCTGATATCAAATAGAGTGAAGTTCACTTATTTTATTGTTAATTCATTAAGTCTTTCCTAGAGTCATCTAAACTATTTTAAAAAGCGGTTTGGGCGCTCGTCTAGGCACCCCGCTCGTCTAGGCACCCGCCTGGGTGCCTAGACCTAAGTGGTGCTTAGGCTGGACACCTACACCTTACGAGCGCCTAGGAGAGCATGAGACACTTACGCAGACTACAACACATCAAAAAGGGTTATATTGTTCACTTAAGCATAGTAACGGATCAAAAGAATTGACCAAGTCAAAATGGATCAATTCAGAAGACTATAACTAAATTCCATCTCAAGTAAATGACAAGAATATGATTTCGAATCATCCAAAAGAATCCTGTCTTCCTTGATGCTTAAAAATGCCTTGATTCCGCTTAAGCACCCGCCCAAGCGTCTGTGCTAGGCGCTTGGTCTGACGCCTAGAGGCACCTAGCATTTTCCAAAGCATGGGTCATCTACATGACCTGTTTTAGGATTATGCTTTTGTTCAGATACTCAAGGCCTCATTCCGACTGGAAAATCAGAACAACGCACATGCAGCTTATCAGGAAGGAACAATGAGGTGCTTTGCAAAATAGCTTTTTTTTTTTTTTAAAGATGCATAACATCTGTGCAAAGCAAAATTTTCTAGTTGACACTCTTAAGAGTGATCAACATTGGTGAGTAAGAGTTGTATCGTAGGTTATGAAATTACAATCTTCAAATTATGCATCATGAACTCCAGAACGTTTTCTGAGCCCGGACGTTCCTCAGATCCTTGTTGAACACTTCAATTTTATTTTACAAGGGAACCGATGTTTAGGGAAACAATGCATAGTTCATGACTTCAAATTTTACATTATATCAGCTCTTGGCTAAATTTATGCTGACCAGAGTACTAATTCTAAGGGTTGCACCTTTTAGGTTATGGGTAGATAAAAAAAAAGCTCCTTTTGGTTCAATAGCAATCTAAACACCGAATCCTCAATAAAAAAAAGAAGGAGATATTAGGGGGAAAGAGCGAAAAAACTAAAATTTACTTCAAAACATGTCTCAAACAAGGGATTAATCTCATATCTAAGGTCCAAGGCAGTACCTTTCGTTATAAATTGTAAATTAATCAAGCTCCTTTCAGTTGGGAAACAAAATCCGTAGCAAGGGAAAACGAACCGCAAAGCCCAAAACCAATCGAAGAGCGAAATGGAACTGGTCAACTTCTAGGGTTTGAGAGAGAGAGAGAGAGGGAAAGACCTGGGATCGGGCGGAGGAAGCTGAAGACGTGCATGAGGCATCCATCATCGAGGCTCTGTATCGGAGAGATCACCGTCCCCCCCTTCCCTTTCTTTCTCTCCGCCTCCATGTTTTCTTTTTTGCCCTTTTTCCTCACATCGAAACTCTCGCTACCCTCGCTCTGTTTCCGTGTCCCCGCAAACCGACTCGGATATTTGACAGGGTCGTCGGTTGGACATTTCCTTAACGGGTAACGTCCGGGTCGGATAGATACCCATGATCCGAGAAAAAGATCTTGTTACTATAGGAGTGCATTCGGTCCGGGGATTGGCTCG